TTTTTTTTTTTTTTTTTTTTTTTTTTTTGCCGCCCAACAATTTCCTCTTTTCAATGCGACAGCGCGTAAATAAAGATGAAAAATTAAAGATAAACTACCTGCTGACGTATACTGAATTTCAGTTGAAAATGTATGAATTGAATAAATATATCCAAAAATTAGTATCTAATTGTAGAATGATAAACCATTATATTTTACAAAGAATATTTTTTTTTTTTAGTTTCATAGAGTTTATTATTCCTTTGTACTCGGTAATTGGAAAAAACATGAGTTCCTCCGATGCTCCGAGGATTCATTATTCGTAAATTGTAAAATTTAATTTTGAAAAAAGTTTAACGATTCACGTTTTCACGGCGTGATGAGAGATTCTCTCGTAAATAAATTAATCCGTGATAACTGTACCTACGCTGTTGTACAATGTTGTACAATATCTTATCGCGACGATAATGATGTGCAAAAATCATGTCATTCGACAATCACATTCACGATAATCAACACACCTAATATATTTTAATAATTACACAGATATATTCCAAAGTTTCCGAGTTACATAATTGCATTGTTTCAAGTGAACACTATCCTGAACACATAACCGGAATTTTATAATGAATATGTAGATATATGGACGTATTCGATGAAAGCATATTTTACAACATAAAAATTATTAATATTTATAACGTGTCAATCTTAATTTGAATTTCGCAATATACAGACTTCAAATTTGTATCATATTCATATCCGCTATTACTATTAATTTTATGATTATGGCAATAGTTAAACTTCCGTTTTACTCGGTCGTTGTACGCACGTTACTACATTTTTGGTAAATTACCTACGCATACGAAGGAGTTAAATAAAAATTTTCCTTGAAAGTTCTCGCACAAAGGAGTTCATCAAGCTTAGGTGCGATCCTGTTCGATATCTTTGAAAGGCGAGAAGGTAGGTAAAAAAGGATCGAAGTTCACCTGGCGACATTACGCTTTCAACGCGTTACGTGCGGCCGAGGCCAAACGAAAAGTGCAGTCTATTTTGAAATGCAAAGGTTTTTTTTAAAACGTGGCAAGTAAATGGAGTAGTTTGCACTCAAAATATGTTGCCAGCATTTGGTCACGAGTGAACACGCGGCAATACGTGGCAGGCTGGAATCATGTAAAGGATCAAAGCGACGAATTGCATCGGGAATGAGAGCCGATTTCCTTTGTGCCGGTATATACGTGCCTGAAAACGCGTTCCTTGAGCCCATTGGGAAACCATTTTCTCGGATGACTTTCGCCGATCGTTATTCACATTTCCGACAACCGTATCGCTTGCCGCGATATACATATTTGTTAAACGATTTAGGCTTTCGACTCGCGGAATTCAGATTTCGATGTTTATGATGATACGTTATATCGGTGAGAAATAAATGTTCTGTGTTTTCGTTCAGAAGTCATTTGTATAGATCCATTGCAATTGAAAGTTTCACAAAATT